ATTTTCTGCAGATTTTCAAAGAGGATGAAGGTTAAAGTTGCAGTAATATATTTTTTTTTTCTTTGAGGTTTATGATCTACTTTAGGAAGGCCCAACTGCTTCTTACTTTCTTTTACTTCTTCAGAATGTGGCCGGTATTATTTTTCCATTATTTGAACAATTTTGATGATGCAAGCAAGGTGTTGTTTATTTATTCAGATTTTTAATAATTATCGTGATCGGCTGAGGTGGACTACATTGGGGATACATTATGACTGGGATACAAAATTATACGCAGAAAAAGGTTTACTTATTGTTTATTCTTTGAGTGGGATAGTGTCTTCAGTGACTTTTATTCCAAAATTTCTTAAGTCGAAGTTTCCAGGTGATCCGTTACCAGTGGAATTAGTCTCGTTCGGTAGCTTGATATCTGAGGTGCTTGGGCTCGGTCCATTTCATCCAGATGCAGCCATTATAAATTTCTTTCCCCTTAAGGGAACTTTAGGACCACATATCGATAGGTAAGATTGGAGGAGTGGTTAGTCGATTCATGTTTACTTCTTAGAAGAAGGTTTACGATTTATTCAGATCAGAGAGGGATCTTAAGAATCCACTGATATCTCTAAGTCTCGGTCAGAGCGCTGTTTATCTCACTGGTGGTACAGATCTCAATTCGCCTGTTGTTCCTTTGTACCTTCAGTCAGGTGATGTTCTTATCATGCATGGGGACCAGCGTTTAGTCTATCATGCAGTACCAAGCATTCGAATAACAAAGAAATTTGAGCCATCAAACCAGATTTCGCGAGAGGTTCTTGAGTATGCAAATAATCACAGAATTAGTTTGACTTTGAGACAAGTGGACTCCTTTTAATGAAGAGTTGTACCACCAACTAGTGGTCTTGACGGGTTACTTCAAATTTGTTTCGTTGGATTAAGCTGTTTACGCATTTAAGCCGTAAGTTTACATTTTATTTATCACTGGTCTATGTAACAGCATCCATATACCTAAAATTTTAACTAAAATCCCTAACGTTTCTCAAATGCAGTTAGGGAAGTCACGTTGCTTTTTTAAATAGCCACTGCTTTTTTTGACTTATAGTAAGTCAATAAATAACTAATGTTCAGTTGCTGAGACTTATAAGTAGACAAAGTCTGCTGCTTCAAAGAAAGGGTATTTTATTTACTGCCAAAACAAGGTCCAGTGGGAGCTACTTGTTATAACAAGCTTAAGAAGTAAGTGATTACTATATCCTACAATTCTTTCTTTTTTTTTTT